CTGTGAGCATCACAGGTTTTAAGTTAGACCTTAAAGCTTCGTGATACCCAGCAGTGTACTAGGATAACATCTTTAAAACAAAATAAAGCTGAAAGAACAACATATGATCTAAATTATTTGGAAAATAATATTATAAAATGATCACCCTTCCCTGTCCTCTCTCCTACTCCCTTTCATGCCTTAAAATCTATCTTGGTTTGCTGTCAGCAAGTGTAATTCAGCTGAATTTAGGCCTGCATGGACTTGATCATGTATCTAGCATCCAAAACTGTCTTCTTGAATGTTAGTCAAATGCAGTAATCCTCTGCTAAAGACACATCTCAAACAAACTAAAACTATACAAAAAACTTTAAAAGAACAATGCTGCCATGTTTACCCTTGCACTGGTTATTTAGCCACCTGAAGCCTTAAAAAGTGGTACTAATTGCTGAGTCCCAATTGCAAAAGCAGTTGTATCCCATCCTTCTGCTGCACTGGAAGAAGGGAAATCAGCCAGATTGCTCTGGACAGGGCTGTCTTGATCTGAAATCCAGATCACTTTTGCAGTGAGACCACAATGTTACACTTGCAAAGTCCGCAGATGACAGTAAGATTTGTAACCTGGAAAGTACTTAGAGAAAGTTGGATCTTCTCATAATAAATATTAATAAAAAAAAGACCCATTATTTTCTAAAGTACCAAGAGCTTCTCCATCTCAAAGTATACTTTCTTTCCCATTCTGTGCAGAGAAGAATAGTGCTGCAGTTGGCTTCTTCTAGAAGGAAACAAGATAGTAAATAACCCATCAGGATCCAGATGATGGGCTTCTGGATAAATGCACACCTGCCTCATTGGAAGCAGGTCCTAGCAATAAACTCTGTGCAACCTTCTGATCCCAGCTCATGTATAAAAGCTAAAAGTTTCAGCTTCTCTATGACATGGCACATTTATTAATTAGACAAAAATACAACGCTTCTGATACAGAGTTGTTGACAGGAAAGAACCGATGTCAGTTGGAATCAACTTCCTACAGTGTTATGCCTCCATCATCTGAAGCAGCTCTGCCACTGTGTTGTATGACTGCTAAACAGGATTACTCCTCAAAAAGGTTTTCTTCAAATATTTGTTTGGGACAAATCCTGAAAAGTATAGAACACCTGCAAAACCTCCAGTGATTTCCAAAGCAGTGTTGGGACCTCAGGCTTGTGGAACCTTATTTCTCTTTAAAACAAACCAAAGGGAAAAAAAAATCCAAAAAACCCTGAACAACTGTTGGTACACTGTGGACCTTACAATTAGCTTAACCAGTAAATTTCTGCTTCCCCTGAGGTGCATCATAATGCGTATTTAATGAAATCCTCCTTTTCCCTATATCCCTAGCTGTTTTATATACTATAAATTATGGATGAGCTTCTGTTTATATATGCAATCTTTTAGCTGTAAAATAAAGACCACTAATACAGCACTCAGAACACACCAGCATGCCTGCACTCCATCAGTGTTTAAATGGGATGCAACATGCCAACTAGTCGTTTGCTCTTGCTGGCAGTGATGTATGGGGATGAAAATGGACTGAGAGAGCAGAGAAGCACCCACCCACTGCTCTAAGCTCCTCCTATCCCAATGTTGTACTGCCTTTGCTTATGGGTAATGAGAAACAGATGGTGCCATCCATCTCTTTTTATGAGATGAGGAAATAAAATATTCGGCCTTGTATCACTATTTTTAGCACGAGCAAGGGATCTCAAAGAAATCTCGGAGGAAAAAAAGGAAAAGACAATATCTCTAGCTACTACCACATTATAGTACTGCAGTTAAACAATCAATAATATATTTCAGGGAGATACCATGTGTGTTTGTGTTCCTCAATATGAAGATCAATAGATTTTGCTCCAATCAAACAGGTCTCATGCAGTTGGTCTCTGTCCCCGGTTTATACAGCTCAAGTTCTTTGCATACAATATTTACTTCGTACTACAAAGAGGCATGAGCAGGGAGGTAATGCAGGGCTTCCAGAGCCCACTGGAAGTTTCTGGCTGATATGGATGAGCTACACACAAATAGCTGTGATTAAGAGAAAAATTGCTTGGCAGATATAACCACACAGTTATATGGGATTATTACAGCTCTCCCTGACACTGTAAGCAAGTGACTTTGGTAATAAAATGCAATGCAATGATAAACATGAGTTTCTAAAGGCCAGTGTTATAGCATGCAACCGCCCTAAGTAACTGAATGCTACTAGCTGTATTGTGCTAGAGAAACTGCATGTGTTATCTTCTACACCGAAGCCAAATAAAAATACTTGCTCTAAGATAAATTTCCATTTTAAATTATGAAATCCAAACTGCCTTAAGATTTGCTATCACCTGCCTTCCCTCTGCATGGCTGTCTGTCTGTTAATCATGTTTCTTCTTTCCTTTTATTTAATCTATCCTTCTTTTGCTTGCTTCAAGTACTAATTTGTTTGCCAGGTAACAAAGTCTTAAGGAGAGGAAGCTCTACTTAAATAATCCTTATTGGAAAATAAGTTCACGTACATAACTCTAACCCAGTAATAGTCAACTTGGGTAGCTTTGACAGAAAAAAATGCACGTCTATTTTTAGCTTCCTTTGGGGTTGTTATGGCCACATACTGTGTCTACAAAAACCTTGGTTACACTAAGAACACCTACCCTAATAAATCTGTAGCAAGAGCCCCCTTGTTAGCTGTGGCATGTACCAGTAAGAAAAGGTTTTTATTGTTACAGGCAGACCTCTGGTCAAACTAAACCAACACACACAGCTCAATGGTAGGATGTGTACATAAATCAAGAGTTTGGGGTTTTTTGGTCAACATAATGTGATCAGTTAGGAAATATGAAAACTTTACTTGTTGCAGTGGATGGAGCCCATTAGGATTTGCTGCTACAAGCTTGGACTCAAGAGTTTCAAAATCCACCTGGAAGGGAGTAAAGAGCTTTGCCTATAAAGGACATATGGCTATAGGGCCTCTCTGCCAGCTTCTGTAGAAGCTAAGTTTTGTTTTAGAAAGCAAAAAAATATTGTAATTCTTTTGGCAGAAAAGGTAACTTTCTCAAATGATATAAAGAGGAGAAACTGATGCAGTTTAATCCTCCCAATCTGCTGACAGATACATGCTTATCAATTGTAGCTGAACGAAAGCAAAGTTGAATGGAAAGCAAGCTCAGGAAAAGGAATTTGGGTTGTTCCACTACAATTAATGAGAGTTGAGCAGGCTGTAACTGCTCTATGTTTGCTCTGCACAAATTGCCTTTCAGTATGCTTTCTAGTAGACTCTTTGTTAGAGCTTCTATGACTTTATTTCTGCGAGCTGAATAGGCTAAAATAACTGTAACTATATTAGCTATAGGAGCAACTGGAGCTATGCTACCTTTCCAAGGATGTCTGGTTATACCGAGAAAATTCTCCACTATTCAAAGCAAAGCAAAAATAAACACATGTGCACTTCAAAGGAAAAAATAAAACAATAAAACAAACTTAGCAAAGAAAAAGGCAGAAATTGAATTTATGGGAGGGATGAGAGAATCCAGATCAGATGGCCAAATTCGTTTGTGTTCCTTAACACACTGTGGGAAGAGAATTGGACCAAACTGTGACAAATGTAGTGAAACACCCTGATAAGAGGTAGGAATTCCTTATAAAGCACTGTACACATCTGGATCTCTAGTACTGACTGATGGCTGCAGAAGTTCTGAAGCTGTTCGTTGTGGCTTTTCTCACCTTAGCATGACATTTCTACTATTTCTCAAACCAATGAATCTCCCTCTGGCGAAAATTCTGGGCTCAAATTTTTTACTTCAGAACAGAATTCCAAAATGTGTTGAGTTCAAGCTTCACTCTCCAAATGCAGAACAAAAACAGGTTTCTGGTGTAATAACTGAGGATTTGAACAGCATGCTCCCCTAGGTCCTGTCCTTAAACTCCAGAAAGGAAACTCAGTTGAGTCAGACACAAAATTAACTCTTCCTTTCCTGGCTCTTACATTCCACAAGCAAGTTGCCTAGGAGCTACAGAGCAAAGTGCTTAAACACGCTGCCCTGACTTGTGATCACTTAGTTAACAGCAGCAGCTTAAAGGCATTACTCGTTCAATTTGGAAATAGGTGAGGGATGAGAATGTAAGTCTGTATCTCAGCAATTCTGGCCCACAGTCTTACATTTTGCCATAAATTTATTTTCACTGGCAGTATACGCTAGAAAACTTAGCTGGGAACTAAGGTACAGCACACGTTCAGTTCTGGTGGTTCTGCTCAGTGGTGGAGAGGTGGTTACTGGTGCAGTAGCAGGACACTTGGGAGCAGCAGCTTAAAGCACTATCATCAAAATGCACTGGAACTCATCTGTCACTGTCCTCTTTCTCTGACTGTGAAATAGCCTATAGCTTATTTTCACTTCTTTTCCCTTGCTGCTCTTCTTAAAATGTTACTAATGCAGCTTGTCAGATTTTCTTCAGCTTTATAGCAGGAGCTAAAGGTATTGTGCTGAGAAATAAGTGAAAAAAGGAGGAAATACTCTTTAGTGTAAGACATAAATGGTGCTCTACAGTTGGGTTTACTTTTTTGTTGTTGGTGGTGGCTATTTTCTTTAACATGGCTAAGGAGAAAAAAAAACATCACCGAAATCTGACATTGTACAAAAGAAAACGTAATATTCAGCAAAAATCCAAATAAGTGAGCATAAAAACTGTTTTAAGGAATAAACACACTGAGGCACTGAGTCTTGTTAGCATTCAAATCAAGAAGTGAGATTGCTCATATCACAAACTTAGTCCTCCCCAACACACCCACCAATACAACACAATGTCTGTGATGTACTTCCACGGCCTATGACATGCAAGGAAAGTATGCAACTGAGTGACAGTTTGTCCAGACATAGGTTTAATGCTTGTTCTCTGCAAGTCTCTGCATACCATTCCAGACAGTGAGTATACTTAAGCATGATTTCAATCTTCCACTTTTGTGCAGCAGAAAACATCAATAGTTGTGCTAAGTCACTCACCCATAACGTGTAGGACCCCCTGCGGCTCCCTGGAAAAGTCAGCATGCTCTGATCTGAGACAGCGACAGACGCCAGGCCGCTGCTCCTGGATGGTGGCCATTCAAAGTCAGCCTCAGCCTGCTCAGTCTTGCTTTTCTGCTTCTTCATGATCTGCAAGGCAGGGGGACAGAGAGTGGGAGGGGAGAAGAAAAGGGTGCTTGGAAAACACTGTCCGAGCCGTATGGAGAAAAACTACATTAACCCTGTCTCAAGGCGAATTGCCTAGGAGGAACATTTGAGTTTCCCTTTGCTTTTGCTTCAGTTCATGCAAGGACGATTCTGACAACCTGCATGCATTTCTTCTCATCTTAAGTCATACTGCTCACATTGATACAATAAATCATAATCAGTACCTGTAGGAACATCAGAAATTAATTAAATAAACACGGAAACCTGTTCCCACAGTAACACTTTAAACATTAGCAGTATCTATCAAGTATCTTCTCAGACAAGAATGTTTGCAAAGAAACATAAAACAGTAGTTAGGGGGAGAATTTCAAAGGCTCCCATGGCATCTAGACATGTTTCTACTAAAACAATGAGGTCTTGAGTGTCTAGACTCACAAAAAACATTATTTTTGTTTCTGAAAATCTACATAGTCTTAAGAGAGAAGATCATATAGATTACCTGTCTCCCTACGCTGACAGATTATATCCTGCTACACTTTATTTCCACAACTTTTCTTAAAATATCTACAGAATAATATTCTATGGCATTAAAGATCTTGTTAGGCAGCTTTTTGACAAAAGCAGTAGCAATTCAAGCTTGGCTGAGATAGGCTCTGGACTATCAAAGACTTGATAAGCAGAATTAATCTTCTAACATCCCTATTAAAAAAGAAGGCAGATAATTTTCCGTTGAGCTGCTGCCCCTCATGGCTTTTCTTCATAGCCTTATAAACAACATTTTCCTCTTCCATACATTTTTAAAAGCCACATCCCAGACACAGATGTGGCAATTGGCTTAGTTCACATGGAGGGAGAGTAGAGTGGTTACTTTACTGATCATAGGAGCTCAGCAGCACTCTGCTCATGCTTGTCTTGCCTTGCTCTAGACTATCTGGACAAACTCAAGAGGTATTTATTCCCACTGGCCCTCCATTTCAGTGCTGTGTCAGTGTCAACTGTGAGCTCTGCAGGAAGAAAAATGGACCTTCTGGAAAAAGCCACATAAATCAGACACACAGAGGGTTCTGTGATCTTTTGGGTGTCTCTCTCACGGCATCGTTAAAATAATTCTATTTTAGTGATCTATGATTTATTTATATGTGTTGCAGATGCAGGGTTCAGTAGAATTGGTATGGTCAAGAGCCACACTTTCTTTTTGTTGGCAAACTTCATGCCTTTTGGGAAGTGAAGTACAGATGTCAAATTCTATCAGGCAGGGGCCTCGTCTTCCAAGCAAGGATATCACAAATATGAGGGAGTGGTACCTCTCAGCTCTGAGGCTGTAGGCCATCAGTTTAGGCACTGGATTAAGCTTATTTATAAACTGATCTCTCTGTCAGATGCAGCTGATTAAGCCTATACCGTGATAGCTGAAGTTGCAACTTGTCATTTAATCTGTACTTTCTACATTGGCGTCATCATTTTTGCTGTTAGCAGGGTCAAAGACCACCGGACTAAAGGATTGTGTTTCGGCTATTAAATAAGCTAGGGAAAAAAAATGCATGCCATACCTTCTGCACAATGGTTGTGGCCAGCTCTTCTATGAGGTCTTCCTTGTGCTCCTGCAAGTAACAAGCCTCATTCTGCTTGTCCTGCATGAAAACGGATATCTGTAGTTGCTAAAATAACATAAAAATAGCCTTTCCACAGAAATGGTATAGATCAGGAAATGGGTAATATGCCCTATTAGCACCGTGGGAAGAAATTACAGGTATGTACATTACATTGCATTGCAATACACATCTTGGATACAAGTTCATAAAACCCACACTCAAATTTTTAGGTATGGCATGAGATAGTCACTACTTCTTTATGTCTTCTTTTGTATCTACTTGTTTTTTTATCACTACCCAAATAAAAAGAAACACAATTGTTCTACTTAATACTTTTTTTTTTTTTAATGTTACCAGGCTGTCACTGTAGGTTTCTGCCTTAGAAATAGCTTCTTCCACTGCTTCCTCTGCAACACGTAAGGCCACAGCAAGGGTATCCATCATGCTGTGTCCTAGGTGAAGAATAAGATAAAAACACCATGTTCCTTATACATGTATGTTTTGCATAATGAGCTCCAAACTTCAGACTCATATTCTGGACATACATTCAAATCTTAGTTTGCTCATGATAAAGTTCATTTCCTCAATCCAGAATCATGCACAGTGAAATAAACACCATAAGACAGAGAAATTTGTCTCAAGCTCTATGTTACTTCTTAAATGTAAATATTAAATACAATAAAACACAGTATTTCTATATTGCTTATTTTAGAATCCAGCAAAATAATTACGAGGAAATCATAGGAAGAAAACTTGTAAGCTTCCTATGAACACCAACAGAATATGAGAGAGAATGAAAAAAATACATAAGCATAGGAAAGGAAATGTGAGAGAAGCAACAAAAACTGAACATTAAGAAAATCACATTAGAATAAGTGTGTATTAGCTGGAACACTGAAGCAAGATATCCCAGCATGGTACACAATGGATTTTTAGTGTCTTGCTAAACGTTTCAGCTACAAGATTGTTAGATCCATGAACAAGACTTACCAGCACTCTAGGTTATCTGTCCAGTAATGCAAAGTGTAAGGACCATGTTTTAACCGAATGAGTTTTTAGCAGCATACCTTCTGTCTGTCGGTAGAATGTAGAGTCACTGCCACAAATGCTTCCTTCATTTTCAAAGCTTCCTTCAAAAAAACCTCCTTCTGCTCAAAAAAGACAGTACCGCATGTTAGTGAAAGTACCCATTAAAAGCAGAGGCATTATTAGATTAGAATATTCACTCAAGATATGGTGGCACTACACACAAAGAGGGATAACTGGAAAACTCCTCCTGCCTTTGGTATAAACCCTGATTGCAACAGCTTTTGTACAAAACATGACTGCTTTTATACGAAAGGCCTCTCATTCATTTTGGATCGAGAAAACTATTTGTACGGTAAATAAGAGAGAGAGGCAGAAGCTACTAGGTATAAAACTTACATGGTAGAAGTTAAGCATGGGGAATTTGCTTTTAATATGACATTTAGGGTTGAAATAGATTCTAAATTTTAAAGGGCAATACTGTATAAATAAGCCAAAACTCGGACACTTATACTAGTATTTATCTTCAAAGGGAACAAAAGGTTTACTGAACAGTCACATGGAGAGTAGAAGAAAGTTAGCAATGACATTTAGACTCAAAGGTCTCCCTTAGAAAGGTCTCACAGAGAGTGCACATGCCACTGCAGCTCATCATCGTATTGTTCTCACTTCCATTCAAGGACAAATTCAGTGAGACTACAGCTTAAGTAAAAGCCACACATTGTATTAAAGTTCTGAAGGATCCATCCCCACAGTTTTTAATTCCATTGTCCCACTTCTGCCCTCACTGACACAGATTTTCTTGTCTTCATATGTTTTTGTTCTCAACTATTAAGGAATCTTCTCTAGAAAAATTAATTTGATACTGAGAAAGCAAAAAGACTAATAAATCAGAATTTAATGCATAAGTTGCTTCTCCCTAGAAGCTTTTAAGCCAATATTCATAAGAAACACTCAAAATTTTCACTCAGGACTAGAGAGTTCACTTACCATCCTGTATAATTTTAGAAGAAGACAGACTACAGAAAAATGAAAGTCTCTGTACAAATTTCAAAAGAATTACATTAGGAAAGTATCTGGTCCTATGAAATTCCAAACATTCAGCTAGCTGTTTTTTGAGTAATTTGCTGAAGTTACCAGTATGATGCCAAAGGCCAGTTCTTCTAACCCAATTTATATCTCCAATTGCTCTTCTTATGAGGTGATGCCTGTAACATCATTATTAAGGGAGAATCGTGTCTCTTCATTTAAAAGGGTGATGCCAATGCTTAATTGGTATCTTTTAAGCATTTACAAACATCAATACAAAAATAAGATGTGGACAATTTCAGATCCTTAAGCATGCAAAACTCTATGTGAGGACAAACTGAGTTTTGGTCAACTTGGATACTGAATGCATCCCACGTTAACCAAATTTTACTTACAACACCACAGAAATGTGCTCTAAGGCCAAATGTTGAATGCAAAATTATTTTCTCATTCATTCACTACTCAGAACTGTGCTAAATTTCAGAACACGGGCTAGAATACAAACTGCAATTTACTTTACAGACTGAAGAAAACGGTTCTTCTATATCAGTGGCATAATTAAGATTAAACATGCTTTGAATTCTTAAACAGCTCTCTAGACACTTCACCTTTTTTTCTCTCCACTGAGGTATCTCTTTAAAAAAAAAAATTTGAAATAATATCAGAATTTCCATTGTCTCAGTTTGTGCGTTAAAGTAGATAAGCTAAGAAGAAATCAACAGCTGTTTTTACCTATTGCATCAGGACAAACTCCGCTCTCTAGTCTATGCTTCTTGTACAAGTTCCTCAGGACTTTGGCACTTCCGAAACACTTAAAGCGGCTTTTGACATTATTATAATACCAATCCAGAGACTGGGTCCTTAGCAGTCTAAAACAGAAAAATAAACATCATTTGGAATGATTCTACAACTAATAAACCTAAACAGTTTACTATTCTTTTATGTAAAAAAAGATCTTTTAGGCCTCAGAGCATAAACATACTAATTTCTGAATACTTCTTCACTGTTTGTACTTTGCAGGCATCCAGTATACTGAGGCAAAAAAAAAAAGAAAAAAAAGGTAACTCATGAGCAAATATCTGCTTCACATTACTCAAGGTTTTATTTGATTTTGCTACTATCAGAAAAGGTGCTCTCTCCTTTTACATTATAATGCAAACAACTACAGCCTCTTCAAAAATATAAACAAGCCTTGGAACAGCACAGGAAGGTTTTAAAAATAGCCTTTATTTACACAAATATACGGATAATGTAAGAACATTAGCCCATTAATGCACCGCAAAACCCAGTATTCTCATAAAAATGTATCACTGCTTTTATTTGGGAAAACTGATAGAGTACACAAAGCCTAATCAGAGGACCTCAAAGCAGAATGAGCAAAGAACAGCAGGCAGATAAACCTTTTGGGGCGGATGGATTCCCAACTGCAGTTGGGTTTCTTACTTTCAACAGTAAGCATCACTGACGTCAGCAATTCATCCTAATGGGTTTGTCCCAAGAGATCATAGACTTTTACAAAGCCATGAGATACTGTCAAGCTCTGTCTTTGTTTCCATGTTGGCAATGGGCTCTTGTTCCACCTGGTACCTCAGTAGTGAGTGGAGAGAATCTGCACCATGTTCCCAAGCAAGACAACAACAGGTTACTGCACGGTAAGCTGCGAGCGGCTGGATGGTGCTTAGTTGCTGGCTGGAGTTAAACCATGACATCCACCTATAAATTAAAACTGACTTTTCCAAAAGCATCCAGGAAGAAGGAGACAGTGAACATGAACTAATTCTGTATGTTTGCTTCCCTGTTTGAGGCCACTTGTTCCTCTGCACATTGCCACAGTAGTTTATTTTTAATTAATTTATTGCAATTAATAATATCTTATAACCAAGATATTTTTATAGGACATGAAAACATTTCATTTAAAAGAATATTTAGCATAGGCTGCAAATTTCCCCTTTGTAATAATCATAAGAATCATAAACTTGGAACTAGAAGTCCTATGGAGCTTGTTATATAATTAAGCAAAGAGATGATTCTTAACACCAAGATTCTAGAAAACAAAAGGGTAAAGCTAGTGTCTAGTATCAAAATATGAACCCTTAAAGAAATGATGTTACTATCAGGAGTGCTGCAGTCTCAGCGCTTCCCAGACTCGAAGACATTCAGATGATTTAATCTGTTTTTTAAACCTGCAGTCATGGGTGGAAAAAAAAAAACAAAAGAAAACAAAAGCCCCACTGTAACCTTTAGATTTTTCTTCAGGGACTCCGGACTTTTCTTTATAAAGCACAAAGCAAGTGACAATCCACAATTTTTGTTTAACACACATGATTTTATAAGCAAATAAAATCTCACCTATTGAGAGACTAGCAACATAGCTCTTACTTGGCACTGAACCGCAGAAGACACTCGATAACAAAGTAATACACTGAGCCTGGGGTTTCAACTAAATGCTTTCAGTCAAGTTCCAGATTTTTTCAGTTTCAATACACTGCTAAAAAGAAATAGCCACTTTATGTAAAGCAGAACATCATGATACAGTCCACTTCCCTGTCACCACTGCAAAGTGTTTAGTAGCAAACACCAGCAGTGGGAAATGAAAAACAAAAATCAGTGAAGCCTATCGTATTCAAACTGTGAACTCTTAAAGTTACATTAGTTGCTCTACTGAAGGCAACTGAAGAAAAAGCACACAATGGAACAGAAGCATATTTTTTTCTGTATGCTGTGTCAGCAATTAGATGCAGGAGAGATGTTTACAGATAACGTAAGAATATTAGCTCTATTTGCACAGTAATATCCCCAGCCTAACTATAGCTCCCAGAGGGTTGATTAGTTCCAATATTTACCATTCTACAAATATCACTGACATGTGACAAAGGCAAAAATCCGTTGTTTTTTTTTTTTTCTGGAAAATGTCCTTACATGCGGTGCACAGATGACATCTGATGAAACACAAGTGGCTGGTGACAGAGGATGAGCAAGAGGAAGCACACCTAGGTCTGTCTGTGAAGTACAGGGTTTCTGAATTCCTGTAACGCTGCCACCAAGAAATGTTATGATGCCTGTCCAAGTCCTGACCCACTGACCAGGGTCCGGCTCCTGGCACAGCAATGAATCTGTGAATGGGGCCAATTTCTCTCTCAAACCTGCAATTCTTTGGCGTTTTGAGAATCTGCATTCTTTGTGTGCAGGAACTATTTGCTCTCACAGAAACTGCATCAGAAAGGAACAAACACAATGTCTTCTGCTTGCTGTATTTGATTCACTTTCATCCACCGAGTTTCTACAGGTGCTGGGAGTGTAAGATTCCAGTCAATAGCATGGAGTCAGAATCATTATGATGGATAAAATTGAGTCTGCATGACTAGGTTGGAAGTAGCTTAACAGGAGGTATTGGCCAGGAAGGATGCTCTTTTGCCCAGGGAACAGAGTGTTCTCCATGCCGTTGACAAAATAGTATCATAGCCCTGTCACTGCTGGTGGACTCACAGCACTGAGTCCTCAAATACATTGCTTTAGAGCTTTCAAAATCCCTACCGACTACCTTAGTGTGTTTACTGAGCAACCTCAGCTCGGCTAGTTAGAAATGCTATACTTGTCATTTTGGAAGCCAAGTAGACCCAGTTCTTAACATTCAGACTGTGAGACAAGGTAGCAAAAGCAGAAAGTCATCTATCTCATTGTACTAACTGTACGAGTTAAGGTAGTCAGTTATGAATGTTGACCTGGCACCTTGGGAAAAATGAGAGATGGGACCCACTGCAAGCCTGCTTCTCCATCTTTTTCCTGATTTTACCATGTTTTTCTAGGTCTGATCAATAATGTTTCTGTAAAAACAGAAAGCTAACAGCACTGATTTTTTTAATGAGGTGAGACACTGCTTTGCAACTCAGGTAATTTTAGAGACTTTGTAATTGTAACAATAACATTTTCCATATGTGAACTGTGGAAGAGTCAAAACGATAGGAGTTTATACATCTCAAAGCAACAATGAAAGAAGAGATGTTTGCCTCTTTGTACTCACTAATCTGGTGTAAACACAGGATTGTTTGTTTTTTTTTTTTTTTTTATTTTCTCATCTCTGCAGGATTAACACTTTGTGAGTAATCTAATCATGTCATGCTTCTGTCTTATGCGTTGGAGAGCTACCAACAACCCCACATCTATGCCTCCATCCTGTACACATTTTATAGCAGATTACAATGCCTCCTCTAAAGCTTTTCAGCCTCTTAACTTTCAAATAAGTCACAATTTTGATGCTGATTCCTCCTGGGCAGAAAGGATTTGGAGAAGAGAGGAATTCTCTCTTAGATACTAAAATGAAGGATCAATTCAAAAGAGAAATAAGAGCATTTTTGCCTTATGTCAAAATCCTTTAATGTTGACCTGTATTTCAAAGCTGTATTCTGCAAAAGCAGTCCAGAATAAAGACTATGACAGCACTAGCATTAAATTGTTAAAATGAAACACTTTGCTTATTACCTCTAATAGAAAGTGTGCAAGTTCTCGCTGTAAAATGAAAGTTCAAACTTAAAGGATATTAGTTGTATGCATTATGAAGATGCAGGAATGGTTGAAGCCATTTATTTCTCTCTCTGTGTCATAAAGATTGCTATGTTTTTATTCCTAAATAGCCTTAAATGCTAAGGACATTATTTATGTTATATAATATTGCCATGGAGTTGAGTTGCATTTTGATGTGCTTTTGGCAGAGGGGAATATTGTAATTTTAAAAATTCTGCCTTACTAGAAAGTGTGAAAGTCAGGCAGACATCTTTGGTTTAATAACATTAAAATTCAATGAGTATTATAAAGCCCTCGTCTTTTTTTTTTTTAGTGCAGCAATGTGTTTGTCTTAATCAAGTAGCACTGTAAGAGCAATGAATAAGCCCACCAAAATATTTACAAGCGGTTTTCAGTACCTTTCTTACCTGCAGCACCCAAATACTCAATTTTTAGCCTTCTCCTGAGAAAAAAAAAGGACACTAGCTGTGCTGGGAGTAAGAACAGGAATCATCTCTCTCATTGTTAGTGATGATCATGAGAAGAATGTGTGAAAGATGCCACTCGCATGATTACAAGTATTCTCTACCCAATACAGAGGAGGTTTACTGATTGATTTACCACTTTTTTTTTTTTTTCTAAAAAATTGTGAGGTTTTGCTTGGTCTAAAGGCAATATGAAGCTTCTGCAACAAATTTTCTCTAAAAGGTAGTGCCAACTTAATGTTCATGACCTCAATCTCTACTACTGCAAGTTAAACTACAAAGAAGTATTTTATAGCAACTTTTCTCCACGAACTTTGTGAGAAGTTTTCTCCACAAGAATCATAGAATGGTTTGAGTTGAAAGGGACCTTAAAGATCATCTAGTTGCATGGTCAGGGACACTTTCCCCTAGATCAGGTTGCTCAAAGCCTCATCCAACCTAGCCTCGAACACTTGCAGGGATGGGGCATTCATAACTCCTCTGGGAAACCTGGTCCAGTGCCTCACCACTCTCAGAGTGAAGAATTTCTTCCTTATCTCTAATCTAAATTGTCACCTACAGAAACTAGACTGCAGCTCAATAAGTGAGGAGGTGCTTCTGGAAATCTGAACTCACATTATTTAAACGTCAGAGTAAATATATGACTTGGAGTTTCCTTGCTGTTGACTTGCACTGGAAACTGAAAACTCCTTTTTAGCTTTCCGCTCTTATCTCACCACATGTTCCATAGCTCTGTGCTAACAGCCAGGCCAGTAAATTCTTCTATCCCCTCAATCTGACTCCAAAATCAGAACTATAAACTTCATCTGCACATCAACAATGGTTCAGAGAAATGGTTATGCCATTTGTATTTGTAAACAATTCATATTTCTGAGCT